CAGAAGGTTAATTTAAATACCAGTTTGTATAATTCAGTTCTGCACCGCTGAGGGAACGGAATTTGCCTGGAATTACAGACTGCTTTATCCCCAGGTAGGCATACTTATTAAACTGTTTCACAAAGTACAAAATGGCAGCATTCTCGCCCTGGTTCCCTGGGGTGGCAATGCACCCCCCAGCCTGTTTGCATTTTTGCACTGTAGTGTAGAAGTCAGCTGTTTTCCCGTTGGTAGCAAATATTTTTCTTCCAGACGCTGTTATCTTCCCTTCCAAATAGAGGACTGCAAGATCAAGTGAAAGATGTTAATCTTTTTTGCATTGTTTTGTGGTCGTTTTGCTAGCAATAGTAATTCCCACTGTCTCTATTCCTCCATAACTTTAGATTTAACCTATGAAGAAGGAAAGGAGAGGAAAACTTGAAATCAAAGCTACACCCTACAACCCAGAAGAAATCTGAAAAGATGAGGGGACAAAAAAGGAATAAATACTTACAGATAGATAGACAATGGAATAGCAGAGGCACCAAAGAGGTTGGAGAGGAGGGAAGGAAATGAGGAGTTATTCATTTAGACAAAGTGCATAATTTTTTCTTTGACTCTAGCCCCGTACTCTAAGTTCTTTCAGACGGCTTACAGAGTATAAAGGTACGCCAGTACTTCAGTGAGTAGGACCTTAGATATGATCTTGTTGTGATTATTATGTTTGGTTTTTTTTTTTTTAGCATTCAGTTTATTTGCACTTCTTAGCATGAGATGCCCTTGGAGCACTTCTACATGGGCAAGGATTTTAGTTTGATAAATGTTTCTGATTTGTTTACATCCATATTTTACTGCTGTTACCTAGGCATCTCTCACTAGTTATGGAAAAATAATTTTCTCACCTCCCTCCTACCACTTGTAACTAACCACTGTCCTGTCTTTGAGGAACAGAACATAAAAGCTATGCATCAAAAACTCAGAAAATTCTGCCTTTTTCTAAGAAACTATTTTTTACACATCTTGTGTATGCCCACTAATCCAGTTACAGCTGAAACGAAAGGCAGATGAATTACCGCCTTCAAGTCTGGAAATTCGAGATCCTAATTGAAGGATAACGTCTTCCATTTCATTATTATCGAACGATGGGAAATCTGAAAACAGAAACAATTACCACACTTCAGTTTACTTTTTCAATCTTGGATTTCAAGTAGATATAGTTGTGTGAAATTAATATGAACTTCTAAAATGTTCTGTGTTTGTTCTGTTTTAGTTTAAATCTCTGTTTTAAATAAGGCATCTTTTCACACAGTGATATTTGTAAAGATAGGAAATAAATTCTTGGAAACTACCTGTGGAGCAGTGCTGCTCGTGGAAAACTCTAATTAGCAAACCCTGAACTGGTCTTCACTCTACAGGGGCAAAAGACTGGCAGCTGTGCAACAGGTTTAGCTGATATTTAATGGCTTCTTGGGACGCTGACACAGTCCTTCAGGCTGTTCAAGCACTTCCTTGCTGCTCACATAACTCAAAAATGAACTAGCAAAAAAGTTTATGTCCCTATGCTATGGAAAATGATACCCTTTCCTCTATGAACGAACCAGTCAAAATCGTTAAGTAGGAGGGATATAAACTTCTTTATACAGAGGCACTAATAAATACCTGATTATTTTCTATCAAGTAGAACCCATAACAGATTATACCACATAACACCTGGTTCATGAAGCATAAAAGATGCAATACAACAGTACATCTAGATAAAAATAGAGATAACTGCAGATACCTGATATAAAGGCTTCAGCTATCCCATCTTCAGGCAAGCCTGTGAAACCAGGCACAGGAGGAATTCCTGCAGGGTTACCTTGAGCATAGCAGGTGAGCAAGAAAAAAGCCACTCCGAAGACTTTGTGGAACTGTGGTGACAGCATTATTTAACACCCACTGTAAAACAGACTATTCTACTCTCCAGTGTAGATTCCTGTGTTTAAAAACAGCAACATTCAAAATTTTGCTCTTTGGGGTTGAAGTTTTTGTACCACAAGCTTTGCCCTTGGTGAAATGAACATCACTGATAGAGCTATAAAGTTATGTCAAATAATTCAAATATTTTCTCCAAAAGAAGTAATCTATCTTACAGTCTACTTAAGAGTCTAAGTTATGGAGCAAAAAACCCCTACACCCTTCAAAACCATTCTTTTTTGTAGAGCCAATACTACCATATGCCATTTTTCCCCATGAGAAAAGCTATAGCTTTTGTTAATTTTACAGAAGAGCAACAGACACACCTGCTTTAGTGAGAAAAGCCATGTTAAGATAAAATGGGATTCATTGTCTTAATCATTTGTTTTAAGAGGGGAAACAATGATTAACGCTTATTCTTTCACTAAGATAAGAATCTGTCTTTTAAAGTATCCAATCTCAAGTGACATCCTCAATAACTGTAGGCTAAAGTATTAATGAAAAAAAAACATTAAAAAGCAATGAAAAAATCAGAAATGGAAAGGTTTGTGATACAGTTTAAGCAGAGTTCAGTTTAACTTAAACTGAAGTCTGTTTAAAGATGTTCAGCTTACCTAGCAGCTCCAATACGAAATAAGAAAGGCTCATTACATGGTCTAATTTATAGGGCCTGTAACTTGAGATTTTTGTTATCTATGGGAGCATGTAATATGATATGAATTTGCATACGAATAGAAATGTCAAGAACTTTAACTTGGATGACAGGGATTTGTTTTCTTCAAGAGGTAAACACACTTAAAATGTGAGGAAAATATTTGAGGGTACTTTTCTGTTTTGTAGAAACACTTTCATGTTTAAAAAAAATCCTGCAGTAAAACAAAGCTATTTGTCAAGACTTGCTGGAAATCCTTAATGATGTTCAACAAAATTCCCTTGTAAATGTTACATTGTAAATCTCACTGAAGATAATAAAAACCATGGAGTTCATAGGAAATATAACATGCACCAGCAGCATCTCTACAATACTCCTCTTATTTTCATTAGAGACCAAGGATCATCAGTGACAATTATTGAAATCCTGTGGATAAACAGAACCTAATAACAGCAGAAACAAAGCCAAAAGGCAATCGTACCTCTGTGGCATATGTAGAGGTAAGAGGCACAGAAGCCCATACTTAAATAAGCTACCCAGTTCCTCTAAGGGAAGCCCATATCTCACAAGTATATCTCAACTGTATAACGTAAGAGGTGCAGGGATGAGCACTTTGAGGGAAGACGGGGAACACCAGCACCATCCACGGTGGCGGAAGCAGCTGCTGGAGCACGCTGAGCCTGGATCACCTCCACGGGCGCAGCAGACCTGTGCCCTGCGCTGCCACACTTACCACAGCAGGCGAGGGGGAGGCCTTTGCCACCGGCGCTGCTCCCACGCAAGCCTGATGAATTCCCACAGCACTGTTTAGCGAGTGTGCTGCAAAGGGCACCCGTCCTGTGAAAAATAAATAAGCACTACACAGTCATTTGTACCCCTGATAGAAGAGGGCCAATTTAAATTTGCATGATTAACTTTTGTTTAAAGTTTCCCACTAAATTTAGAATTTCCTAACTTCTGAGTGTTTGACCTAGTGCTCTTAACATTCTTTTGACTTCTTTTGGCTCATGTTTTCTAATTGTTTTATGGAAAAAAAAAAAAAAGGAGAATGTGAGGACATGCTGTTATCTGGGGTCCAGAGGAGCCCTAGCAAAGGTCACCTGCAGAACTTGGACCTTTGAATCGATGGTCAGGAGAACTTCAGCACTTGAACTGTATCTGGGAGAAACTGCAGTTTGTGCAAGGGCGAGATGGGATGTGGCATGGCCTCTGTTAAAGGACTGCACACATACTGCCAGATGGCTTAGGAAAGCTGGAAACGTTTTCCTGTGCAACAGACTCCCTTCGAGAAGAATCGGTGTTGATTTGATAAATTCTAAACTTCTTGACTTTATCAGTATATGGATAAGATGGAGCAAGCAGAAATAGATACTTCTACATACTCATATTTCTATTATGATTGTTTATGATCAATAGCCTGATACAATATTCTATATAATTATCATAAATATAATTATGGTAAATTATTTGCTGATCTGGATTTGAGCAGCATATCACAGAAGCTCAGCAAGACTCAAGGATATTTTAGACAAAACTGATCTAGGACAAACAATTTTTGAGTAGTGAGGCAAATTTTCTTCCATGTTTCTGCATCTATTATTGAGACGTTTTATAATTACACTGCTAGTGAAGCAAATCAAGGAGATTCTGAGATTAGGTTCAGTGTTACACAATGTAGGTAGGTAAATACAAAACACGCTAAGGACAGAAGTTGGTCAACACTACTTTCCTAGCTGCTTAAAGAAATACAGACACTAGACTTTAGTTTGAGTTTATGGAACTGGGCGTGTGTTTCTTCTACAAGCCTGTTTGTTAGCTTTTCCTCTGCATACTTAACCTCCTGAAAGCTGATTTTTTCCCTTCCTAGTGCTAGTCCCACCTCAGATAACCTTACGAATTCTTCCCCTATTCTCTCACCTTGTATTTAAAGGGCTCCCCAGCCCCATTTACATTTTCTGTTTACACTGCTACTATGCTGTTCTGCCGCTGCTGTTTCCATCCCACCTCGCTACCACCTTGTCCTGTGCTTTCTGCAATCCCCTTTTCTCCATATGCTCTTCCAAATCCTTGCCAGACTGCCCCCAACAGCTCCCTTATGCCCGGGACTATCAGGAAGAGCACAGAGCATGTAGGACCTCCCGCATACTTGCCGCTCACCTCTCAACCCTGGTGTCTGGCAGCATGTCTCATAGGAGGAGTACTGAGGCTATTTTTGTTAAACTTTGAGACGAGGAAGTAAAGAATCCAGCAGGACATGGACATCCAAAATGACAACTTTCAGCATGATTTTTTTTTGTTGAAGTTATGAGCAGCATTTTAGAGCAGAAAGTTTTAATTTTACCACAGCCACGTGATTAGTGCATGTTGATGCCTCTGCCATCTTGCTCCACTGACTTAGGTTACACGTGAAGGATCCAAGTGAAGGTCCCTGGGACAGCACGCAGCATAGCTCCATTGGGAGACAGAAAGAAACAATAGTTTTGTGTTTATAACAGGTGGAAAGTAACAAAACATCTCACCTTTTAAATGATTCTTAATAACAAAACAGGATTCTAACGGGAGGGAGGAAAAAAAAAATCCAACTCATGCTTATGAACCAGACGAAACAAATTTTTCCATACAGTCCGCAATTGTCCTCTGTCATCAATTGACTGCAGAGGAAGGTTAAGTTGCTCATTGCAGCCTTTACTACTGTAGCTACCCTCACGGCACCTTGCTGCGAGGGTTATGGTCCCTTGGTGTGTGGGTCCTGCTGACTCCTGCGCCACAAAGGCAGGGGCGCCCCAGCGCTGCCGTCCAGGCTTCGCCTGGCACCTCTGCTGCCTGCTTACCTGCAGCCAAATTCCATCAAACACAAGTTTCCTAACTGGGCCTTAGCTCCAGCCCACGTGCCCTTATCATTCTGAACACTGGCTAGTCAAATTTCCAAGCGTGCTGTATTGATCGTGCTTTAAACCTGGGCCTGCTTGTGTAACTGTGGGTTAATACCATTTTATAACTGTTGGTTTCTACTTCAGATAATGAAATTTACCTGCAGTCTGACTCTCTTTCAGGCCCAGATAAATATATCTGTTAAATCATTGCACAATACTCCCACGAACATTGTTTTCCTCTGGTTCACGAGAGTTGTAACAGGGCCACTGCCGTTTCAAAACCAGTTAACAAATTTCCTAGTGGCAAATATTTTTTCTCCCATTTCCACTTACTGTTTTGCTAATGAAAAGTCACACGTAAACGTAAAAATGTATGATTAACCCTTACCCTGCTTTGTACTCGCAGCGCTACTAGGATGTTGTAGCATCAGGTACGCGTATTTTTCCATCATCGATGGTCTCCTGGAAAAGAGAAAAAGAATAAACGTCAAATTTTTAATACTTAGCTTCCAGATTAAACGCGCGCACACACACACACAAACACACATGTAAAGGAGTTACTGATCATGATTTATACAGGATGGGGTAGCCCTCCTACCCTGTATCATATCCTATCAATTATTATGTTCATTTAACGTTGAATTTGAAAATAATTTTTTCCAAGAACTGTGGGGCTTATTTTCACAATTTTTCCAAAAAAATCAGAAAGCCAACAAAAATATATTTAGTTGCTTTATCTAAGGTCAGTTTCTTTACATGCAGTTGGGATTATGGGGTGGGGGAGAAGAGAGATTAGCCAGACAAAAGCCACCAATATTAAATATGCTTTAATTAATAACAATTGTATTGGACCTCTAATGTGATGCACAACCAACTTCACAAGAGACTTAATTTTTCTGACCTCTTTATGTGCACCAAGACCTTACTTCTCAAAAATCTGATTCTATAGCACTTGAGAAGAGAAAAAGTTATTGTCTAAATTGAAAGATCTTACTGTTAGGCTGTTTTTCTGTAGCAAAGTATTATAAATTAAAAAAAAAAAAAAGAAAGACTAAATTGACTTTTGCCTGGCCTGGTCATTATGCACCAGCAATTATTTTTGCTTGCTGTATTTTTAAGGAAAGATTTTATCAAATTCATTTATCCTTTAAAAACAGATGGAGAAACAATTTGTTCTGCTTCTTTTTGCCCTGCTTTTTTCCCCCCATTTTAAAAAAAAAGTTCTTCATTAATGTATAAAAGCAGAAGCTAGATTTTTCTTTGACAAAAAATGGACTGGAATACTTACAAGTATTTTAAATACCATTTAAACTGATAGAGTTATGTTACTCTTTTAGCTAATATTTTTCTCATGCATAATGATTTCAGGATACTTTTTCTGCTCCCCTATGGAACTGAGAAGAACAAGCACATAACATTGTACTCAAAATGTACCTAGGTAGCTAAAAACTGTTGTATCCTCACCAGGATTTTAATTGTCTCAGGATACACAAATCCCATGAGACATAATGTATTCCAAGTGTATCTGTACAATATCTTTTATCAGGAAATATTATTTCTTCCAAGTATGATGGTTGAGTCTGGACTTCTTTTTTCTCAAAGTCCATTGAAGTTAGGAGATAAAATTCCATGAAAAAAAAAAAGTTGGTGCAGTTGTTTGAAAAGACGGCAGGGAACTGAGAGATACTCTTTTTGATCTCTTCTGTTTTATACATGAAATATAGTCAAGAATTTGGACCCAGAACAAGGAGGCCCACTTCAGAATGCTGTAAGGGGAACGCTAAAGCACAGAAAAAGAAGAAAAGAGTATGATGCTATAAGGAGAGATATTTTATGAAAATAACTGAGAAGTTTAGTTGCATTACCTGAGATGTTACCAATCACACTGTGAACCATACAGATGAAAGTGCTGTCTACAAGTTCTTTGACCCTGTAAGAGGACTATGGATTTTTTATTTTTAAGCAGTATGCCTACGTTTGGTTTGATTTTTCCAATTGTAATGGTTAAATAAGAAAGAATTGGACTTGGAGACCTAGCTTAGGACCTTTGCTTGTTGATCCAATAAAAGATTAGCTTTTGACTCAAAAAATAATACGATTTTTCTTAATTGGGTAAAAAGCACCAAAGTGTTTTTGAAGTGTTAATCTGTTTAAAGATGGGTCATATATTCTGATAAGTCTTTTGTAAGATTTTAAACACTGAAGATTTTTAATAAAAGATTTGTACAGTTATTTTGCAAGCACAGATATGACTGAAATACATCAGTGTTTAGCCAACTGAACAGGATACCCCACATGTTGTTGGAGATTTGTGTAAATGAATACATGAAAATGGTTTGGATGATAAAACGTTATACGTTAGTATAGTAATTTTTGGGCTCTTTCTCCAACACGATACCTTCTTATGCTAGTTAATCATCTTGCTCTAACAAAGCAGCTGTACATTTGAAAGACATAAATACTGATAAAAAAGTTTGCTTGTTAGATTTTTCTAAATAATTACAACTCAAGAGGTAGTTTTAAGCAAACCTGCAACCTTCTCTAGCAGTTGCATTGCAATGACTTGTCAGAGCTAAACACAGAAAAAGTAAAAAAGCATTCGTTAAACCTTATCTTCTCTCAAAGTAACCTGAGAGTCAGAATTTTGGCCATGGAATCACGTATCCCCCTTCTATTTGTAGTTTTTGAGCAAAGAGGCATCACGGTCATAGATCTTCAAGGTAGCTATTTTGTAAAGAAGTTTCACACTTTGAAATCTGTCCAACTTGGGTCTGGAAGTACTCTTCCTACTTACAAGTCCTGCCCAATGAACTGGAGGGCTGGGTGTGATGCTGAACAGAAACCCTGTGCTGCCAAAAGTATCGCTCACAGAATCAAAGAATGGCCAAGGTTGGAAGGGACCTCTGGAGATCATCTAGTCCAACCCGCCTGCTCAAGCAGAGCCATCTAGAGCATATTTCCTAGGATCGCGTCCAGGCAGGTTTTGAATATCTCCAGGGAAGGAGACTCCACAGCCTCTCTGGGCAACCTGTTCCAATGCTCAGTCACTCTCACAGAAAGAAGTTTTTCCTCATGTTCAGATGGAACTTCCTCTGTTTCAGTTTGTGCCCGTTGCCTCTCGTCCTGTCGCTGGGCACCACGGAGAAGAGACTGGCCCCATCCTATCGACACTCTCCTCTCTCACCTCCTCAGTCTGAACACACAAAAGCTTTCGTACTCAACAGGGCTTGAAAAGGCCATGGGTGCAGAGCCCACCTTTTCCACCATGTAGGCTAGGGTTGCCTGAGCTCCTCCACTGCCCAGAGTGACGTCCCACTTTATGCAGGCTCCCTGCACAGAGCCATGCACGTTCATGCAGGAGAGGAGGAGAAGAAAAAGGAGAAGACGGAGTAAAAGTGTTTACCCATGCGTTTAAACTCCAGTACTTTCTTTTCTCCCTGAGCAGGTGGGAAAATAATAGATTTAACAGAGTTTCCTTGCTGTGGGGTAATTGTATGAATTTGCTACTCATGGTCCTTGCCTGAGTTCTCACTGCCCAAGCCAGCTACTCAGGCTGAATAGCGGTGAGAAATATTTCTGACTTAGTAAAATGACACCTCCGGATTGTAGAGGATTTGAATCGTGGCCTGATTTTGTGGTTGCTGGCATGTCATCAGAAGAGAAATAGCTTGTGTTTGAATTAGTACTTCCAACTTTAGCTGCTCCACTAAAACAGTACGCACTTATTCGGTGGTTTGTGAGATGAACGCTACAAAGTTCTACAGGGCATAGTTTTATGAGAGAACGTGATGTTTTAGTGGCAAAATGCAATGTTTAATATTTTATATACATTTTTATATGTTCACACAGACAAAAAGCAATGTTTATCTTAATGTTTTATAGACAGTAGCTTCTGATTTAACTAAGAAAATGAACTGTAATTGATGCTTTTATTATATGGGTGCTGAATATATCAATGCACACTTTGATATCACCTAACACAAGCTCTATACTTCAAAGAGATGTACAAATCCCAAGTCCATAATTGCTACAGTGAAGTCAACTGCTCTGCATCTCTCTTATGGTAGAAATAATTAAATGCTTGGAAATATTTCCACTATGTATCCAAAGAGTATTTTAACTTCTGACTTTTCTAATATCTCAAGCCAAACCCTGGAATTTTCCTCTAATCTTTACATAGGCACAGCAGACTGAGACGGTATCTGTCATGAACAATGAATTCTGAGTTATTTCCAACCCCCTAAAACAGAGATAAATGTATCAAATTAGGCACATTTTAATTAAGTTAATCATCTACTACACTTGGCATTTTCTAAAGGATAAAAAATACCACAATATGATTCATTTTAGATTTTCTAGCATAAAAAATTATAGAAATTATATCGTATAACGCAGAATATTTCATGGTCTCCATATTCTCAGGTCGCTGAAAGGCCATTCTTCAAAATTCACAGATTGTGAGGCGATACAGGTTGCATTTTCTGTCGTTCCAGCCTCCATCAGTGTACATCTCTACACATTTTTCTGTCCCTTTGCCATTTGGCTCATATTGGTGCCACTTCGTATAATTCACAGGTATGCCATTCATATAGGTGAACTGACCTGCAGTCTCACTCTCTTTAATGCCCAAGTAAGCGTATCGGTTATACTGTTTAACAATACCCAATATAGCCTTGTTCTCTTCTTCATTCATGGGAGTTGCAAGAGTTCCTCCAGCCTCTTCACAGGATTTCAGTGCAGATGCAAAATTAACTTCCCTCCCATTGCTGGCAAGTATTTTCTCTCCTACTTCTGTTATTTTCGCATTCAAAGCAAGCACTAAAACATGAAAAGGAAAGAGCTAGTTAGTTTTTTTATTTCCTTTGTCATATTGACTAGAAAATGAAGAAAGAGGAATCAAGAGAAGAGGAGAAAATTAGAATTGGTGAGAGGAAAGGAAGAGAAAAGGGATGAGGGCAAGAAAATGAGAGTGAAGGAAAAGATGAAGAGGAATGAAGTTGTTCAAAATTTTACCAATTCACCAGTTGTTCAGTAAGGATATTGTTATGTTGCATGCAGATAAGGATGCCTCCCCTGCTACCATTTGCTACATACGATATCAGCCCTATTTTATTGTGTGTACTTCCTAAAGAGCATCAGTTTTGCTTCAACTTTGAGCAAAGGAAACAGAGAAATTATAAATATTTTGTGAAGTCCTTCTCAGTACCTAATAATTCTTTCCACCACATTTAATGACTACACTGCTGGTAGGTACAAACGCTAGCAACGTTGTACTAGTGTGCGGCTGAAGGGTTTCTATGAGTCAGTGTGGAACATGCAACATCAGTTGGGCTTTTTTTTTTTTTTTAAATAAATTAAATTACAATAAATGTATTCAGTGTGCCTGAGATAAACCTGCTTCTCCAGGGAAAGCAGGTCCTGTGAGATCTCCTCTGCTTTGGAGGCGAAAATAAGGTAACTCCTTACAGACAAACTTCTTGTTACAGGAGCAACAGGCCTTGCGCTGCCTCTCATGAGAGGCCCACAATTCTCCACTCCTTTCTCCCTTCCTCTTGAGAGGATCTGTGATCCAACAGAGGAGCTGCCCAGACCACGAGGAGCATATTTTACTTCTCATAAAGAAACACATTTGAAGTTGGTTACTAGACAGTTATATTTTCTGCAATAATTAAACTTGCTGATGTTATTCAATAGAGCGAGAGCTCACACTGATCAGCTGAAAATGGGGAGGAAAACCGTCTTTGTAAAAGTAGTATGTTGAGTAAAACAAACAGTAAGTCTCTTCCCTATCCCTATCAAGGTTTATTAAACTGCAGCTTCCCTGTAAATATTCAAGTCTATTTTATTCTCTCCTTAAAGTACTCTTCTTTACTCTGGGTCTTATCTCATGATCACTAACGAAATGTATCTAAGTATATCCTCCCTTACAGTTGAAACATGCAAGACTTTGCAAAATGCAAAGCATCACTCCAGGTTGTTGGAGTAGCCTTTGTACTACTTACTGGGCATCTATTTATAGTGAGCATTACTATAGCATATAAGTGAACTCAATTAATTAATTCTTAACAGCTTTAACACATAGATAAGTACGTACATTATTTCTGCTTTAAGGATGACAGAGAAGCAAACCAAGTCTTATTTCCCATTGAAATTAATGGAAATAATGTACCTACTTCTCTTTGAAGACCTGGTCCAGTTGACTTATTTGAGGCCAAATTTCAGTCTGAGGCGGTACAGGAAACAAATAGAGGCTCTTTTCCAACACCCCCCTCTGCTTGCCAAAAAAAGCACTAGCCCACCTTTCCTCTTCTGCTAACATCTAACTTTGCTGATGTTTCACAGAAAGCTCTAGTTTTGAGATGCAGTACTAGGTTTCAAGTGCTATTCTATTTTGCAAGTCATGATTCTCTAATTATTTTTTTCATTGTATTTAAAATCATTTGTGAGCTGAAAAAGTAAAAACAAAATATTACCCCCTTCAAGTCTGGCAAGTCGATGTTTTAAACTTATTAATACTTTTTGTAACGCAGTGTCAAAAGAAGCAGGTAGACCTACATAGATAAAAATAGAAGTTATACAATCAAGCAAAACCAGGTGCTGCTGACAGGAACAATTCATTGCATAAAAATAATTACTTTACAAAACTAGCTCATGCATGAGGTACTTTTCTTAACATCATCTAGGGTAAAATAAATATTTTCCCATTATACACACACACAAACATATATATACACACACACACACACAGATTTAAGTATTGATAAACTGTTCATTTCCCCTCTTTTCCCAGAAAAGAGAGGAGGCTTATCTTTCAGAAAGAAAAAATTAAGCTGACCACTTCCTCCATTTAGTTCTTCCCTCTTTTGCTCAACACAACAGCTTCCTAGGGGGCACCTATTTTTCTGCGTTAACTTCTTTTCTTTTTACAGCCTTCATGACAAGAATGACGAGAATTTGTTGCAAAAAAGGGAAGTTCGCTGTGCTCTGTAACTATGGGCCAATGGACTGCAGAGCAGAAAATCCCTCTGTGTGAATTTACTGGAACTGGTAACCACTAGACATTTAAATAAACCTACTATTGCCTTACTTTGTCTGAATGAAAAGACAACGTACAACGTGTTTCCTTACTCTGGCCTTACTTATGATTAGTACGCATGCAGTACAGCAAAGACAATCACTGCAGTTACCTGGTGGACCTGGTTCTCCTCTCAGAGAGTCCCCTCTGTCTCTTCCAGGCAGCTCATTAGCTCTAGGAGTACCGGGTAGCCCTAGTATTCCTGTACACTTATCCTGTGCATGGCAAGGCACAAGAAAAGTAGCTACTGCTGCGATCACGCAGAACGTGTAGGACAACATGATTGCTCAGGGCAGCTGTAAAAAAAAAAAAAAAAAAATCCACATATTCGTCAGGATATGATTCCCTAAAAACTGTAAGTATTGGCTGATATAATTGAATGCTTTTTTTTCATTCTTCCCTTCTTGAAATTACAATCTTACCTAGTTCAAATTAAGTCTATAGTTTAGATATAAGAGATTTCCAGTTCTGTTTTTGCTGCTGTGGCGTAGCTTATACATAAAAAAAAGTTCCCAGAATAATACAGATTGGTATACTTATTACAGATTGACATCTACACAGTTGGAAGCAGTGGAGATAAATCATCCTTTATGCTACCAGTATTTATTGGATTAATCCTTGAGAAAGGGGGTCAGGTGTAAAACCGATCAAGCTTAAGCCATTACATGACTTTAAGGGCTGAAACCATTCAATGAAACGCAGATGTATATGTCACCAACCTAAAAGGCATAACCTGTTACAGCAGTTGTGATGCCATGGAGCTAGTTAGCAATCTGCTTAAACGCACTATCATCTAAGCACATTTATTTGAAATAAGCAGACTAACAGAGGGGCAACATTTTATAGATCGGTTGACATTCCAATCTTGTTTTGAACAAAATTCCACGACCTTGAAATCAGAGTTAGTCTTGTAGAAAATGTGTTTCTGCTGGATGGCAATAGGCTCATTCACTTTATTTTATCCTTTCAGGCATAGTATTACACCGGGTCATAATCTTGGTGCCAGGATACCATGAGCTCTGTAGGTGCATACTGCTCTGTAGGTATAGATCACGGGTTCATAATGGAGCTAGTGAGTATGCAGCATTGGCTAATGCTGTGTGTTTAATAAACCTGAACTGACGGACTGTAAGACACTGTGGCATGCAGATACCCAGTTATTAGCATCATTCTGCTAAAAAAATAAGATAGACATGTTCAAGATGCCAGAATGAGTATCCCATTTGAATGAGATGACCCTGATGGGTTGACTCTCTTATAAAGCATATGACTTAATACCCAACACTTCATTTTTCTTTCAGCATGAATTAGAGTTGACCAGGTACTACACTATCTTTTAAAACTTCTACCCTTACAAAATTCAGAATCGACAAGATCACTTTTATTGACATATAATATGTTCTAAATCTAGCTCCACTTGAAGCTCAGGATAAATAGCTGGTTGGCTTGAATACTGCAAGCTTATTAATAGCTGGGTGTTCACCAATACATAGAAGAAATTTGTTTTAAAGAGTATATGACAAGCAGAATCTAAACATCTGCTTACACTTAGCACCATTTATTACATGGATACATTAACACTGGACAGTGCTTTAAAAACCGAAGGTTTCGTCTTCCACATTGACTCTATTGTAAAAGGCTTTTTGTCTCATTCTAAATCTGCCTCAAAACTAACTACTTTAAAGGGCAAAGTTCACTCCTGTTTCTACAGAGGAATGTTTCGCTGAAATGAACTGAGCAGAACAAACTCTAGAACATAAAAGTATTCAATTATGTCATAAATTTCAGCATTAAGCTGTGCATGGAATCTGTTTAAGCGGTAGTGATTTCTGTTCCCCACTGCCAAGAATGTTCACTTTTTATGAGAACATAAAAAACAGAACATGCATGTTGTATTGAAAGCATTGAGGAGCTTTGTGTGTTGAATCTGAAGCATCTGGCCATGCTGGCCACTGACTCCAGAGAACAGACTATTAAAGCCTCCAATAGAAACCTACTGTAGGTAGCTAAGAATACTTGTGTCCCTGAGATAAGGAAATGCAATTACAACAGGTACTCTTCCTCTGACGCTGATCATTCAGTGAATTACATTTGAATGACTACTGCATTCAACTCATAATTGGATCATGATGCAGAGTCAGAGTCTTGATCACTCATATAGTAAGACGGAAAAACAACTCTTCAGTTTTAATCCAGTTTTAATGACCTTCATCAGTCAGTGCAATCTGGTGTCCTTCAGGCATCTCCTCATCTAGTAAAATTGATAATACAAGCAAAGTAAAAAAACAGTAATCAGAGAAAATGTAATTAAAAAATGCAAATATGACCATAGAAATGAAAAGGAACAGGTTTGCCATCTAGCTGAAGTTCCTCGTTGTTTATAAAAGGTAAATTCAACTTACCTTTCGGCTTCAAAGTGAAATGAAAGAGAAGTTCTCAAAAGTCCCCTTTATATAGCGTGGTGCTTGTTGAATGCCACTGTGCTGAAGTGGAGACTGGATAAGTAGGACAGAAATGAGCCCTTCTTGTTTTACTTACACACTTGTTAAGCAAATACTGAGAACAATATTAAGGGCTCAGATGTTTCTTTTTTCTTTTATAAGAACAGAAAGCCAAATTTCTAATTTATGTTTTTAATGGAGAAAAAATAATATTGAAGAGCACATTTAATTCCAGGTTTATATACTTACACAAAACAGATACAGAATTTTAAAGACACTTTCAATAAATCTAGTTGATATTACAACTAGATTTTTCTTGTTTTAAAAGAGCAAAAACAACACGTGGCCACCAGTGTCTTTCACAGAAGCAAAGGTGCTTTTGTAAATTAGGGAAGCACCGTTGCCTTCTGGATAAAGTCTGACCTGATAATCAGAATTCTAAACTTTGCCTCCCATCTCTATAGCTGGCCTAGTGGCCTTATCTTACCAGGATTTCCCAGAAAGAGAGCTGTATGTATGCCTGATGTTTTTTGTTCGCATTTGGTCTCTTTTGTGTGTAGCGCTCACTTGCTCAGAGACGGATCCCATGAAAATCTGGAGCACAAGCACAAAAGCACAAGCATAAAATCCTCAGATGGACAACATTTTCAAGTGAAAAAAAGAGGACTGATGTATGCTTTGGTCCTCTGGTTTCCCAGTGACAAAGACTGGGACGAGGTGACTAATTGTCTTCCAGTTTCTATGCTGTCTGCCATAAGGACATTCAGGTTTGATTCTAGCCTAGGTTTGTTTTGTGAACTTCAGTAAATCAGCATATTAATCCCTCATCTGCAAGATAGAAATACTGCCGCTTCTACTTCACAGATTTGTTTGTTAGGCCAATTTACACTGTGGTCATTTTAGGGATACTACCCACTTGCATTTGACTGAAAGTACATAAATTTGTGTTGTGACCTCCGACGATAAGGGTTCTTTCTACCTAGCAGAATTCACAGCTGCAAGCTAACATCTTTGGGCGCCTAGTTCAATAAATTACAATCAACTGGTTGATCTACAGCTAAGAGAAGTTGCCAAAGACAGACATATGTTTAGGATCCCCTTTGGAAGAAACTCGGTCACCTAATTCCATTTCCATTCACAAGCGTGAGCCTCTTGCTAGAGTTAAAAGTGCCCAGCCTGGTCAGTCCTTCACAAAATATAGAGCAAGCAAACTGAGAAGATATCAGATTCCTTTTAACCAAATGATTAGCTCTCACTCATGTTTGTTTTAAAAGATCTAGATTCAAATCATTCCTCTACGTGATATGCAACAGGGATTTTAATAGAGGTTAATAATTTTATCAAACCTCTAATCACACCAGCTGAAACATCTACTTCTACAGTCCAGCTGAAATAGATGAAAAGAACTGGTGTTAATTGTGTAAGATGGGGGTTAAATAGTACCCTGCAGCTGATATACCCTGTTTCTGAATCCTGCTGTGGCTTAGGAATGGCACAGACACCAAACAATTCAGCAAAATCAATACACACGTAATTCTGTCTCTCAGTAGCAGCAGAGCTCCAGGGTACCTACAGCTCTGAGAAGTTTCTGCAGCTTCAAGATGCACTTAATGAACCTAGGTTTCGGGAAGGAGTATTTTAAGTGATTAGTAGTCCAAGTTTTTGTGAATTCAGCTTATCAGAACAGGAACACCTATAGATCCAGCTTCCAGTTTCAAGTCTGTAATATTTGTAATGGTTAACACTATTTTGTTATAACATTGTTTATATACAAATATAAACTTTAATATGCAAACAACTTTATAAATCTTTCTAAATTTGTACTATTTCTTTCACATAACACAGTTTATACTTCAAAAAAATTATATAAGTATTGCAAACATCAAGCAGGGAAATCACTAAAACCCCACTGGCTACATATCTCTGTCCATTCATGGAAGTGCAGCATGATGAAAACATATCCCGTAATGGCTTAAGATGTGTAAAAGCTTTATAAATTATTATCTTTTATCCAAGCCTCCAAAGAAACATACATTTCTGTACAATTTTTCTACCATGAGTCAGATTATACTTACACAATAGAAGCTGATAAGAGATCTAAAACATCATCCACGTCAGAGATTACTTAGTCGTTAGATTTACTTTCCTTTGTGAAGTGGCAGAGATTTAAGGAAAACAAATAAACTAAAGAGTGAGGAAGAAAGAAAGCAAATATTTTTTCTCCAAGCTGGCATCGCTGTTAAATAGCTCTGAGGCTCAATGCTCTGAAATTTATAGGTAAGCCCCTTGTAGGGATGCCTGCAGACCTCCAGGGAGGGGCAACACCAGCAGAAACCATCCAGGGTACTTCAGCGATTTCAGAGGGACCCAGACCCTTCTTTCTGTGGGAAGGCCACTAAGTAGAACAATAAGATTCCTTAATAAGAAAGCATGAATTATGCTGTTTTGGCAGTGCCAGCAAACCAAACCCAAACTGCACAATGGCCTCCTCAACTAGGAGCAAAAGTGAATTTTGGAAAAATGGAACCTGATTTTCAAAGACTCAGTGTACCCAGAAAGAGTGCTTCTTTAAATGGCATCTGTGCATGCTACCCTCACAAAACTAGTTTGAATACTAATAACTGCCACGGCAGTTTCCAAACTGGAATCAATTTCTTGTATATAGCCTTCAAATCTGTAATTTCCTGAAAACAAGGTGAACTCTCCATTTTCTTCAGCTCATCATTTTGAAAGAGCAGATTACTAACAACTTCATCATAGCCCAATCTGCATAAAGCTGTACAGTGCTCTTTCATACAAAACAGAGTGCTATGCAGCCACACTAGTTTAGTTTAGCTGTTTGTGAGACACTAATCTTAAATGTGTTACCTTGCTGCAAGTTCCTGATATCAGCAATCTTAGTTAAACCTCAACACAGCATTTGCATGGTAAGCAGGTGTGGTCAATTCTCCATGTTTGCCCTGTTCAAAATGACAGTAATTTCCAGTATTTGCCTAATATTTCCACTGTAACCTATCTGCTCTGCTGCTACTGGTGTTAAAATGGTCCAGATTTAGGGGCCTATAGTCAGTTCTAGAAAGACTCATGAACATCAGCTTAAGCGATCATCTGAAATATAGGGAATTAAACTTTGTCACCTATTAAATAATGAAGCAACTGAACGGCTGAGTGCTCCCCCTTCTCCACACCTGGGTTAATTTTATTGAGAGAAATCAAAACAAAAACCATGGGCAGGATACAGGAATAGAGTGAAAAAACTAGGGATGATAATACATTATTTATGCCGTTAATAATGAAAGAACATACTTTATGCTGTGGGCAGGGCTTAAAACATGTATTATTGCTATGTGTCCTCGAGACTCATTCCACTTTAACTTGAGGATAAGCATCTAACAGGGAGACTGTAATGGCTACTGAGCTATATTTATGTTAACGAACAAACACTGCACCAGTGAGGTGCTGTCAGCTTAATAATACTCTGTCAGTTTTGGGGATGGATCCCAGGGCAGAAACTTTTAGGTCCAAGTGTAAGCGGGTGGACGGAGGAGGAGAAGGAACTGCTGAACATAGGTGCTGAGACTCCCAAAGAGAGGACAGCAGTGACAGGGAACGGAGCTCGGAGGAGCAGAATTTAAGGGCTGGTTCCACCAGGCTGTACTGAACTGCCCTTGCATAGCTTTGTGCTTGCAAAGAACAGAAAACTTAAGCTTAAGGAGTAAAAAATAAGAGGAAGCCTTTAAGCAATTCAACTAAAAAAATGGTCCTTTTCTGTTCTATTTTCTGTTCTAGGAAAGGCAAATTCCAACTACACTCATCAAGAAAAGGAGCGGTAAAGTTTTTCAGAGCTTTTGTGAAAGCAGCAGCCATGGTAACCCTAGCAGGCATGTAACCTTAAAACTATTGTAACAGAAGAACTACTGTCCTTTGTTTTCAGATAATAACCATTTCCTTCTTTCTCATATACTTAAGTAATTGATTTAAACCACAGATTCACACAGTGGCATACTACAGGACTTGAGGAGCTTATTGTCTCAGTAAGTTACAATAACTAGGCTGAACCACCAAAAAGAGGAATGGTTTAAGGGAAAGGCACACTGCAGTTTGATCAGAGCTCATTTCTCAGTCTGTGACACAGGAGGTGATACTTAACACTACCTGTCTCCAGAAGGACCATATCTGAAGGCTCCAGTCAATATAGAATTTTAAAAGTACAGACTGAGTTTACAACTGCAGTAGATAACACAGGTCAAACGTTACAGCTTTTTAGTTACTGGAAATGGACAGAGGAGCTAAAGAATATTTAGGAATAATGAGGGAAAGGCAGGCATTCCTTTTATTTCAATCCACAGTAGACACCATCTCCGACATAGTCATTTAATGGTAGAGATCACTACACTTAGGTAATTAAATATTATAAGGAGCACATATCTAAATAGCAGAGGATAACTTCTCTTTCATGTAGATTTCACAGCTGTAGAATAATGACACAACAGCTCCTTATGGTTAAAACTAAAGTCCTGCACGCAGTGGTCTATGTGCAAAGAGCCTGACACAAGGCCATTGCTCATCCCTGTGCCCACAGCCTCACCTTCCTTGCTTGTGACCGCAATAGTGTCATTACAGACTGGCAGGACGGGGTACACTCCTCCTCTCCCTTCCTATATTCTGTCTGCAGGTTTAGGAAAAAAAATAACTGAATTGTATTCAGCTTCTGTCTTCTCCTTTCCGAAAGAAAGGAACCGAAATCCAGAAACAATCTCATTCTAACTTCACAACCTATGGATTTTGATTTCTTTTTAATTAATTAGTCTCAAAATGAGTTCCAAAAGGTCTATATCCATATCTTAGTTTCACAGGTAGGGGAACAATAGCTTAGAGAGGTGCTTTCCTAGGATCATTGAGGAAGCTGGTGGTTTCGAAAGCATCAGTTCAATCTTCTTTCTTGTAGGCCATATTATCTACTTTTAAATTCCTCCTTCTGCCTTTCTTGCTAAGCATGTAGCCCCAGTATGGGAGTACTGCACAACAGTATGGGAGGTAGTTGCTGAACCTTGTGCAACAACACAACAAAAATACCTATTGCAATGTCAATTAGCAGTGTCATAATGGGGTAAATACTTTCTTTTTTTTACTGGAAATAGTGCAAAGAGTAACTACAGAGGTATCCTGCTGTGTTGCAGCTCCCATGGAGATGAACTGTACAGTGTCCCTCCTATCGAAAGTGGTAAAAGGAAGCAATTTATGCTTGAACAGCCACTGGCCAAGATTACCTTGGAAACATATGCTCATAATTCATATCTTGCCCTTATAAACAGCCACCTGGTCCTTGTTGTCAATTTAAAATAAAGATAATCTAGCCTGCAGATAACAAAAAACTCTTCTAAGCTGTTATTATGTTGTTATTGCTGGGAAATGGCCCATCTAATGTCTCACTGATAAGTGTTACAACATATATATCCAAAAGCATTGTCAACATTTATTTCATTTGTGACTGAAATTCGAAGTCCTTGGGAAAAACTCATTATTGAAAACACATGGCACAAAACAGAGTTATATAGCAAAATAATAAACTCACCAAGCTGCTGTTCAGGTCTGATGGTCACAGTAAAATGAAGCTGCTTTGCATCTTACTGTAGGGACCCCGACTGGTAATGAATTCCCAGGAAACGCCACATATTGTGATTGTGATTGCTGTTATAAGCTGAAAATTAAGACAAAATAGGTATTATAGATTTTCATTTTGCACAGAACATTTCCACAGATTGAACACCAAAATTCTGTATGCTTTAGCTAATTACGCTGTTGAAGCACAGCGTATTTAATATACTGAATCTGTTTCCTCTATAATGGCATGTTTTGAATTCTAATTGGTGCACAAATACAGAGGAGAACTTCAGATCTTTCAGGGCAGATACTAGGGCACTTTGTTACCTTCAGTCACCATGAAAAGCATCTGCAGCTGCTGAGCATAAATCTCTGGAAGATTCAAACTAGCTAAGCGGGGTATTGCTGTAATTTTGCTAGTAACCAAGTTTTCAAAAGTCTTAGACTAAAAACGTTACTGATATTCTGAAAGGTGACGATACTTACACGCTTCAATTACAAGCCAACTCCCTCAGAGTTCTCTGAAAGACTTTGCAGGCCAAACTCTTAATGAAAATACACGTGCCTTGTTGAAATTCTTTGTATTTTCCTTTATGTTTAATAGTGATATTGAACCAAAGCTACTCATCTCTTAACAGAGAGGATGTAATTGAAAAAAGGTTATTTCATAGTGAGGAAATAACTAAATAGGTTAAAAGTGAGAAAATTCCCTCAATACAGGTACGGCTTATTTCAAGTCAAATTATTTGCAATACATGTATTGCTTCAGCGTATCTTTCAAGAGGCTCATTGAAGAATAAGGACTTTTATTTTCACCATCTTGACATAGTAAACAGGGCAATATTTGAGCAAAGAAATTCTTCACACCCCAAAAGGAAGCTTAGGGCCTATGCCTGGTGCCCTAGTAAAAAGTATGACCTCTCCTCGCAAACATTAGCTATGCTTAAATCCTTAGGTCATCATTGCTACAACTGCACTCCTATTATGCGGTTTTGCTCATTACCCTTCCAGTCTGGGCTATACCGAGGTTTTTTGTTCTAATAATAAAATGTGAAAATTGATACCCTGGATGAGAAAGATTAACACAATGAACCGAAATATATTTTCATTCATTTGTGAGGATTAGAAGACTGCTGCAACATATCTGAAATTCAAACAGCTGAAACTATGGCATTTTAAATAGCACTGCTACCTCAGATAGCATCTCTTCCTTTTCTGAAAAATATCCACAGGAAACAGAACAAAACAGTGGCAGTTCTTGAACTTTTTTTTTTTTTTTTTTTTTACTAGAATGCTTTTTTGCTGAACAGAATGATTCAGGGAATGCTATATCATAAGATAGGAATATGTAACTTCCTTTGCATCTAAAGTGTAACAGCTGCACCTCTCAAATTTTTCATTTTCAATTGACCTTTAAAGGGAATTGGGTACTTAACTGTCCTTTGGAAACCACCTTAGGCACACAAGCAGTGAAGGAGAAAGATAAAAGACAGCAAAGAAAGGAAAAACTCAGAGGAAGAAGGTCTGAGAAACCAGTGGGAGGAAGTTCTTTTCTCTAATCAGATATTGAGAGGGAAAAAGGTGGGCTGGACACTCTTGGGTTAGGATAACAGACACCGATACTTTCTTTATGCTGAGGCACAGCCCATTGCAACCTCCAGTGCAAGCTGCTTTGAGAAATATTTCCAACTGTTTTCTTTCCACTCTGCAGTGTATTTTCTTTTTTTAGCTAGCTGAATAAAAACCCTTAGAGTTTATCTAGCAGATAAAAACAAGGGACAGATGAAGACCCAGAGAAATAGAAAGAAAACAAAAGGGAACAAACAGAGCCCTAGAACCTCAAGTTCCCTCTGGAGAGAACTGAGAGATCTTAAATATTGCTTGAGGCCACCAGTACAATTCAAAGTAAAACTGTTTAGTAGGTTATTAAAACACAGCAGAATAATTTTGCATGACAAATCAGAGAGAATGTTTAATAACCTTGAGAAATTTAATAACCATGGATGCCAACTACCTAACTAGTAAAATATGATTTTATTATTCCATGGGGGGGGTCACTCTTTACAGCCTTTCTAGAGGTTTTATATGTGGTTTTGAAGCTTAAACATTCTTTTCCTCAGAAAGACAAGAGAAACTCTAGAAAATTATTAATAATCATTTTAGCTACCCGCTGGATTTGATTTCCTTATATTTTGGTTTGGCATTCACTGCTCTGATTTAAGGAATCGTTTTATGAGTCTGGCACACAAAACCCCAGCCCTTGCATATCCAAGCAGCTCACTGCTTGGCTAAGAAGCATCTGTTCTGTTGTTAGTGGGGTGATTTGAACCACAGCCTGGCCTGCAGATTTCAGATCCATTCTGCTAAGCACAACCACGACGACTATATGCATACCAGTAAGACAAACTGTGTGCATCTCCATACTTCTTCTATCACAAATGCGCAAATGGGAACTTCCTTCCAGTTTCTCTTAGATCTCAAAACACTACGTACCCTGCAGCTGCATAGCCATTATCTCTGCTCCGAGTTATCTCTGCAGCAGTGACTAGGGAAGCTATTACAGTCTGCTGGCCTATCTCTGCTGCTCTGGGAATATAAGCAGCAGCACAATTACAGGTACCTTATTGTATTGACTGTTGTATTTTTGTTCACTTTAGCAGAGACATGAGCTTCCAAACAAGTACTCAACTAAACCACACTGGTGTAGCTCATGTGCCACAAATACAGTTCAGCTTACCTAAAGGTATAGACCTATAGTTTCAGATAAGTACACTGTCACAGGAGTAGCTGTTGCCAAGCTAATGATCTTTTCAATTTTTTTGACTTTTTTTCTGCCTCTCTCCTGTCTCCTCAAGACCTTAGTGGCTCCTCATATCTGTCACCAGTCATATACTTGCCTGTTCTCTGAATATTCTTGCCTACTTTCACGAGAGGGCGGCAGGCTGTAGCACTGCCTCCATAAAAGCTATGGTATCCTGCCATGCCCAGTTCAAGCAGGAAACGAACTGTGATAGAGACACACATCTGGATCATCAGTGGTTGGCAGGAAGTAACAGCTGTGCCCTTTCAGAAGCGTCTTCATCCGCCCACGGGGCTGAACTGTGCAGTTGCAGTTGTATGCATGTTGCATAAAGGAAGAGATATCCAAGGAGTGAAGAGCGGGCGCAGCCCATGAGTGTTAGGGTTCAATGGCACTTTGCATGGGTTTAGCTGCCTCCCTGTGATTCAGCCCTGCACTGAGCCCAGCCTGCTGAGTACACAGAGCGCCCCTTTCGCAATGTCAGTCCATTTCCACAGTTGGGCAATCATCTAAAGTTGAAGTGGATTCTAAGTGTTAACTTTTCAACAATTAGTTTTCAAACCCTACAGAAAACATTTGCTCTCCTGACTGTTGCAGTACTAGTGTTGCCACACAAAGTGTGCGTTTCTGTGTTACGTGTACGAAATCTTTACAAACTCAGCCCTACTCTGCCCCTCTGCTTTTCTTTCGGGCTCTTAATACCAATCTCCCCTTGAACCTGTCTCTCTAGCATCTATTTTTCACTGCTATGTTTCCACACAAACAGGGCCCAACTCTCTAATATCTTCCACTTTTTATGCTTCTTTTACCTTTCCAAAGTAAACAGACTGTGCCAATGTAACCAAGATGAATGATGAATGACTCTTACACTTTCTAAGGACTTGGACAATTTGCTAGAATAAAGGCCAAATTCAGAACTCTTCTGACAGCATTAGACAGAGATAAACATCAGGGCAGCAGTGCTCAGAAGCATTGAAAAAACTACCTGTAACATGAGGCAGAGGGTAGTATATTAAGTGAACTGACATACCATACACTTCAGCGTTGTAGACAACATTTGAAACATTTCTTAAATAGCTTTTACATCTGCTGCTGTGTGATGAGCTCGCAGCTTTTGTTGCTATACAGACTCCTGCTGCACTGTTCCTGACGCTTGATCCCCATTTCTTGAAAAATACAGGTCCTGCCTTAAGATAGACTTTAAAATATGAGAGAAAAAAGAAACTAACAATTTGTTGGTATAGGGCTTTTCAGCTGAGAGCCTTTTAAGCTTTTTTTCACCATCCTTATGAAAGCTCAAAATGTACTTTGGTCTCAAAAATGAAAGCTGAGATTCTCCACATGCTGGCAACTGCAGTTTTATTAGAAATTATGATACTTCTTAAGAGGTTTTAGGACTTCCACTTAAATTTGGTGAAGTGCTGTGCCCATCTCAGCTAAAGAAGCTCGTAGCAGTCAGCTTCCGTTCTTGTATAAACCTCAGTCATCTGTCTCAGAGTAAAAAATAGGCTTGTGAATAATTCTTGGGGTGGGTGAAGGCTGCACAGAGCCTTTTCTTGTGCCTATCACAAGCACAGGGCAAAGGTGGCCAAGAGCTATTGTCCAGCAGTGCAGAAGGGAGAAAGGGGGGATGCAGCCCAGACGTCTTCCCCAAGAGAGCTGGGCAAGTCTGACAGGGGAAGCTGCGGAAATGAGATCCCTAGTCTCTCATATTGGTTTGTGCCTAAAATTGAACTTTTCCCCAAAACTAAGATTTAAGCAAAGGAACGGCTCAGCATTTTTCACTGTAGATGTAAAAGAAGGCTGCAGGACTGGGTAGTTTAATCCCTCCTTCCCCTTCTCACTGCCTTGGGAGCATCTCTGAAATTTTTTCAAATACAAGCCGCAAGATGGAGTGGGAGAGTTAGGGATGTAAATAACTGAGACTTACCATGACCAAGTTGCTTGGCGAATCCAAATGACGGGGGCAAATAAGAGACCAAAGGCAAAGCAACACAGGAACAGAGGGCAGCTTAGGGCATTTGAATGCTGTGAGAGAATTTCTATACCTGCATGTTTTTTTCAGCTCTGTACTACTAATTTCTGTTAGGGTTGCAATGAAACACACTGAAATTCCTCTCTGCTGCGCTGCTGAGCCGATGTAAGCCCATTTCCACGAAGCTAAACAACGCTAGCAACGCTCAGGCTCTCTGAAATCAGACATCTAAATGGGGGTTGACTACTTCTCTCACATTTTGTACACTTAGTCCCAAGCAAACTCCAGCTGCTTGAAATTTTGCCTGTATTTAAACACTCCAGGGCCGGGAGAGGATGCCAGCCAGTAGTGTCTTTCTCTTACCGTAGAGCTGCCAGCAGCCTCGTGCAGGATTAACGCGCGTGCTCAGCTCCGCGGGATGAACTGTGCCACGAGCTGAGCACACGAACCAAACGGAGCGAAGAGCCAGCCCGGAAACAGCTCTCACAACTGTCTGCCCTGAAGCACTGATCTATAACAACTCAAGCTCCTGATGCCTGAAACACCACTAGGGTCACAGACCATAAAAAGGAACATTAACTGCAGGTGCCTCAGGATAAAATCATTCCCTAGAGCTAATACAGAGGATCCAGTCATGCTGCAAATGCTCAGAGGTTTGCCAGAGAGCTTAAGAGAGACATGGGACTGCACTTAGGCTTCCAGGCTCTCCTGCACCCCTTCTCTTCCTGGAGATTACCGTCCAAGCTACAACTTGGGAATTAGTTTTCTTCCCTTATGTCACCAGGTGCTAGGCCAGAGGGTACAGGCACTGTAGTCGTGCTAAAGCTACAGATTTCCCTGCATAACGCTTCTCTTCTGCATGCTTCACCTGAGACAGCAGTACAGACCCAAGAAAGTGATGCCTCCTTCCATAGCAGGAATATGCCGAACAAAGAGCACGTTTCTCCTCTGCTCTGAGCAGAAGTTGACCCCTTCCCCCATATTTATATAACATACAAAAAGTAAAGCAGTAAGTAGAAGCTGCTACTAAATGAAATCACTTCCTGTCTTGTTCTTGTAGTTACAAATAAAAATTGCCACATGAAAAATTAAGAGAGGAAAAGTACTTTTCTGGAATTATGTTTTTTCACATGTGACAGGATAGCTCCTCCTAAGCCTGAAATTGTGCTGTGTCTTAGAAAGATAAATCTAGCAGCTAATTATCAAATGCTTCTCTCATCCTGAATTACTCTGAAGCTCTGCGGAGGTCCTATTAGTACCAAATGAGATATTTCTAATCAGTGGTATAACAGCAAATACAGATTAATTTATAATTCACACAAAATGAAGCGGTCATCAGACAGGCTGAGTTAAGCCCGTTGGAAGCAAATAGAAAGCACTTTCAAAGAAGAAGAAAAACGTCCCTAACACGCGTGGTGGGGAAGGTCAGAACTTACGGCTCATCTGATAGCATCTCACTATCTGACTTCAACAGTTTCAAGTAATAATACTTAGTAAAAGTTTGTTTACTACTTTCAGGTTTTGTTTCTGCCTTGTGGACTTTTGTCGGGTCTGAGAGGATCAGCTTGCTCTTCTGCAACGGGTTGCTGGAGCTCAGAGATTCTGGCACTGCTCTTTTATGTAATAGTTCTGGACACGTAATTTGCACATACTAATTTTTTCTCACTGTGAAGGCCTTTGAACATCAGTCACTGGGTGCTGCTGAGCTGATCTTCATGTAGGACAACTGGACGATTCAAGTGATTGACAGTGGGAAACAGAACCATTCACATCTGCAAAATATGGTTCCAAATCCTGTCCAAAACAGCAACTAGGTCACTGTAATCTACTGGCTGGCCCACTGCCGGCACAATACATCGACACTCTTAGTCCAGTTCCAAATTAAATGATCACAAAACATATCACAGTGTTTTTAGATACAGTCTCAAAGTAGACTTAAAGTTTTCATTCATTCAAAATGAATGTACTGGAGACTGAATTACCACTGACTCCTAAACCTGGAAGCACAACAGGACTATACTTATTCTCTAGAATGTCTCCTCCTTGTCCTAAATCAACCCAACTCTGTCTTTTAAATACTGCAGCGTATCTTGTATTTTCATATAATAAATATTCATTAAAAACTCTCAGGCAAACTTTTAAAATCTCTTGTTTTCATAGCTGCAGGACACCAATTATTGACAAAAGGCATAGAGTTCACCTGAGAACTGCAGATGTGTTTCCAGTAACAACAAGGAAAATATGATGCAGATCAGCAGATACATCATCCTCTAGAAAATTAATACCCTCTACCAACTCCAGTAATTACTTTTCTACTCTACCTGTATGACCTGCTGTATAGAAAAGAAATGTAATTACTTACAAGGGTAGACACAATTAGGCAGTGAAAATAACAGTTAAAACACAGATGAGTCGGGTAGATGAAGCAGATGGAACGTCTCTTTCGTGACATAGCATTAAACTGTTGCAACTTCAGAACTGTCTTAAACTAAACTACGAAAAGACTGCATTTTACACTTCATTTTACACTTTACACTACTCCTGGAAAATATACCAGAGTCTCAGTTTCTTCACGCTGCATATGCAGCCTTGTTGTAGAGTTAGGTGAGAGCTTCTCTCTTGCCAAATATAACAACCCTACTGTGGGCAAACATGACAACCATCAGATATGCTGCCAGTGTTGTTTCCATTTTAGCTGTGAGGTCGACCATGTAATCTAGATATTTTATACAACAGCATTTGACTTTGCCTCAAAGAAAGTGAGAAAAAGCACGGGAAGAGGACTTGTCTCTTACCTGTGTTTGTGTACTTGCAGGTGTGCTGGGGACACAACCAAGGCCTTCCAGAAACACGTCAGGAGGAGCAGGCGTTTCACAACCTAGTAAGTCACGTTACCTCTCACAGGAGCACAAAGAGCGAAAAAGTTCAATTCAGATGGACCTTCCTGCATTTCAGCTTATGCTTGTTGCCTCTCGTCCTATCTGAGGTGACAGCGAGTCATTAACACTGGACACTGAGAAGCTGACAGGACAGGGCAGCCCTGTTAAATTCAGATACTAGGGTGACTGCTCCTCAAACGTAGTTATTACATTTATACAGAGAATACCAGGAGGCAGAATACCATTAAACCAACAAATCTTGCTAACATTGCTCCTTGTAAATTTGCAATGCTCCAGTAGGGCAACTATCAAAAGTCCTTTCTAATCTGCATGTATGTACCTGAAAGAGTTGCATGGCCTCAGTATGGTCAAATATTTACCACTACAAAAGACAGCATTACTTACCAACACCTGTACTTGATCAGTACACAGTGGAACACTGTTGCACCACTGGCTTTCCTAGTAGCCAGCGTAACAGAATGTAATAGAAAACAAATGTAAACTTGCCAGAGTTTTACCTTGAGGATAAGCCTGCTGAGACCCCTCCCCAAAAAAGGAAGAAAGAAACAAAAAGACCAAACTGACCACATTTCTATTAAAAATCTATAATTCTCTGCTTTATTTTGGGAAGAGGTGGTTTACTGGCTTATCTCTCTCTATCTTGCACAATCCTAACTATTACCTAACTCAGCCTTATCATCCTTGTATAATGGGTACAACACAGGGCACTCTGGGAGTAAGCCCTTTGCTCTTTGCCTGGCCTTGGACAGACATTGGCTATATTATAGTAGAACTGAACAACCGAAAAATCTGAACACCTGCAGGCACTGAACCTTTCGACTGTGAGATTCTTCCCCTTTTTTCAGTTAATGGATCCATTTTTGAATAACCTAGAAGAGGGAAGACAATTTGACTTGGGTCCTGCTTTACCTCAGTGACTGCCCTCCCTGCAATGTGCTCTGAATTACCCCTGGAAAACCCCTGGACAACTCAAACCTATCCATTTATCTTTAAAAATAGGAGGTGGGGTTTGAAGAAACAACATGGGGTGAAGGAATAAATCTTTAAACTTTTAACAAAATTGTTTAATACTTGTCTTCCTATAATAATAGTCACGCAGCTACTGATTAGACTAGACTTCCCATTTTGGAGCTTATACTGTACAGCCGGTTAAGGTGCCATTGTGTGGACGTGAAAAGTACAGCGGCAGGAATAGCGTGTACGTGGGAAAATTGCCTTGGGTAGCTCTGTGAAATGAACAAAAAAATTTAATGCTGAGGAAGAAGTCTCTGACAATTCTGCCAGCAGAAAACTTCCTTACCCAGAGGAAGCTCTGCTAGACAGCTCCAGGTGCAAAAATCAATTCAAATTCTCCATCCCTGTGGCAGAAGCAGGACTGATTTTGTTCCCAAGATCCCATTTCTGGGGCTGTTGTTCTCTGACTGGATGGAATCAGACTGATGTGCTGTAGCTGGCCAGACTGCCTCTGCACCTCTTCCCTCCAGGAGCCACAATGAGTTTAATCTCAGTAAAATAAAATGAAAAAATTAGTTCAGAGCAGTGTTCTTTGTCAGCCATGATTTGATAAAAAACATTGTAGAGCCAAGATCATTAAATAGATATTTAGAATTAGAGATCTATTTCTTTAAATAGGAATGTGAAAAATAGGAACCTGATCCTTGCTATTTTGGCCAAGAACCAGAACATGATATCAATATGCTGTCCACACATGGCATCCACGGCTCATCTTGTAACCTTGTGACCCACAAAAATGTCTAGTCTATATTTTCCTCCTGAACTTCTCTGCAGGTCCCTTGCCCTTAAATGTGGAAGTACAAAATACATGGGGATGTCAGTAATTTCCCTAGTTCCCACCAGCTCAAGATACCAAACAGTACCATGGGAAGCATTTTATTGAAATGTAGTTTATTTGACTAATCTGTGGCAAAGTAGCATGTTGATATGCAGTATCTAAAACTACAGGGCTTCTGTAAATTCCTGCATCAAATGACAAATAAAAATTATAAGAGCAGGTGGCGTAGTATTCACAAATTATTAAATGTTTCTCTTCACTGGATTTGTAATTCCGTTTTCTGCCTCCTTATTTCTATGCAGCCTTCCCTTCCTCCAGAATTATTTGGTTCTCCTGATTTCTAGTTTGAGTATTTAGTTCCTCATTATTTAGATTTCTAAATATACCTTCTGTCTACATACCATTCATACTGAGGAACAGTCTTTTCTTATGTCTGGTTGCTCTTTGTTATACGGCGCAGCTCTCTGAAGAATTCCTTGGAGAAGCAAGGAGCCCAGCACGTGAGAACAGTTGGCTTTTGAAGTCTCAGCATTGCCTTTGGAGCCATCAGCTTTGAGTATTCTTCACCAGCAATATCATTTGGGAAAAACAGAAGTGGGAACCATATTCAATTATTTTCATCACAGCATAGCAGGGTGACAGCTTCTAGAAGCTTGGAAAAGAAAATATGGCTAAAGCAGTGGATAGAGGTGCACAGCAAGCTCACTGATTTGCTTTGATGTCAGACCAACAGAGCACTCTTATCTCCAAACCACAAGTTTAAAAAGTATTTCAGACTTTTCATTGAGACAACTAGAGACAGGATTAAAGAGCTTTGAAGAACAAAACCCTAGGAATAATCTCGTTTCTGAAAAATCTCAGACCAAGCATTATAGGGCATCAATGTTAATAGGTGCTCATATAGTGAGTTTAATCAGAGCCCATAGCAAGACACAAACGGATGCTGTTCTGTGCAGGATCTTTTCCTTCTGAATGAGTAGTAATTTATTCCTCGCCTGTGTAACCTACCATGCATTCATCCTTCTGCACAGTAAGAAGCATACAGCAGAGCTGATGCTCTTCATCTATTTCTTTTCACTTGTCAACCTGCCCCAGAGACTATGTGGCTCAGTAGTTGCTTCCTATGTTGGGCTGATAGCTTGATTCAACCCTCATTAATGATAAAAAGTAACTTTGGATCTCCTGTGTCCACTGTATATGTTAAGAACAAGGTGAGAGTACCATTTGCTTGTTAGAGAGTAGAGGATTTATACAGCAGGACACACTAGGAGCAATGTCATAGCAATAACATAGATGAATAGGAATAACGCTGCAATATGCAGAGTCTCACCCTTTTTTCATGGCAGAAGGCAGATATGACAGCATAAGCATCAGCACGTATAATACTCTGAGCTCATTTTGTTGGAGTATATCCATAAATATAATTAAGACCTAAACTAGCAGATGCCAACAACAGTTTCCAGTGGGCATTAATGAGATCGGAATCAGATATTCTTTTATCTATTTTTCTGCCACAGGCCAGATAGCTGACAAACTAGGTACAAAGCCTAATTTTATACCACCTACCCCTCCCGCAAACTTTAAATGATTGCACTCCAGTCTGGACGTAAGCTTATTAACTGACAGCTATTCCTGTTCATTTTTAAAAACAGACTCTGTGCCAGCGGTGCCAGTCTATACTTTGAAGTTTGTAAGCCTGAGCATATAGTCTTTACTGAAGCAATAAGAGAGAGAACAGTTAACAGCCCAGAGCTGTTAGGCAAAGGCAAAATTCCGTCTCCCAAGCCAATAACGTTTCCTTTGTGACTTATTAGCAATGGTAATAATTCTGATTTCTGAGTGTCCAGAGAGGATTTGATATATAATTTCAAATGAATACCTCCTGTCACAACTTTGATAGAAGGGGTAAACTATCGATAGGTTGTAATGCTGTTACAGCCCAGGAATGCTGTCTTTAAATATTTAATTGTATTTTAGAAATTTAAAAACATATATGTACAGCAAGACAAACACAGATGAAAGGTGAATGTACAGATCAGTCTCTCTGTTCTTCATTTAGATACTCTTGGGAAGTTTGCATCTCCCTAACTCAGTCTCCTCCTCTGCTGTTAAATCTGCTGGACTTCTCCATTCATATCTCTAAAAGTTTATCTATGTGAGAGAAGACTGGCATTTCTGTAGTCAGCTGTTGTGCTTTACCTATATTATACCACTTTGACAATAAAGTCAAACAACTTCTGTCTTTACCCTCACAGAGATGTAAGGGAACTTATCTTACACATTTGTAACGTGTCCGTGCATGGGCCATCCGTCACTCAGAAAAAGTTTTTATCTAGCCAGCAGGCCACTTTTTATCCAACTTTTTGTTTAACTTCTGAAAAAAAATGCAGTACTTAGTGAAACTGGAAAACTAAGCACGACGTAAAATCATGGCGCATTTAAAAATCCTTATATTAGAGGGCAGCTACAACCTTGTACCAAATATCAGAAAAAATTAGGGAGCTAGAAAGACAGAGAACCACAAGACTTCACATTTTTCTTCTGCTCACTGATGTGCAAAGATAAATTACACGGCTTCATGCAAAACTACAGTTTACAAAAACTGTTACAGCAAAAACTGTTACGATCAGGTACCCACAGGCTTCCAGACTGTTTGGTGCTACCTTGCTCTGCGCAAGAAGCGGTTAAGTCCTGCTGTCAAAAAGTCACAAAACAAAAACAAACGTCATTCATGCCAAGTTCAGAGCATTGGGCTACTGAGCAGAGCGGGATCCTGCCTTTCATTCATCTGGGAGCAGCAGGAACCTTCCTTGCTCCTTTCCTTTGCTTTCTCTTCAGCTACTCTTAAATGAAACATGTACTGAAAGGGGTTTAGGTTCAGCAAAGAATCAGAATAACTCTATGCTTATTTTGTGTTCAGAGTGCTTCAAACACAGGCCTTTTCTTGATACTTAAGAGCTCATAAAACACCATGTCTGATTTCCAGCTTTTCACTTTAGCTAGAAAAGAAAACGTAGAATGCCATTTTTTGGCCAAAATAGGACAAATTGTTCATGTTTGTTTACTAATTAGTCACTAAAGAATTCTAGATGTTTTTATTCATGTCACAACATAAATTTGTGAAGCAGAGGCTTCTTCAAGCATGCAAAAGCTGAGATTCACATATAGCTGAAGTACGAGAATATCAGAATACCTAGCCACATTTTGCTTTTCAGTTGGAGTGCACGTGGAGAGACATTTTATGAAGAGTGAACAGACGAGCATCCCGATAAGTATCCTGCACAGGTTTGGTAACACGGGGTAGAGTCTGCACTCTGACAATTCTTTAGCGTACTCGGTGAAGCTTGCAAAGCATGGGGTAGTTACTGAGATTAGCTACTCAAATTATGGGACCAATTAAATACCAACTCTTTGTTTTATGATTTTGCTTATGTTTCAGTGGGATTTCACCCTTCGGTGTTGAATATTAATGATTCTAGAAAAGATTCAAAGTCAACAGTAGAGTCTTCAGGTCTGTGCAT